GCAGATCAATTAATTAAAAGGACCATTAGAGTATTAGAATCTTTTAAGACTAAGGATGGAGAACATGTTTCAGAAGCAAAGGAAGCTCAAATAATTATGCTTTTCAAAACAATCAGTTTGACCAATAACCAAAAATTAATTTGTATCAACCCAAGTCAATTCATAACAAGTGTATGTAATAATCTACATTCCCGTTTACTCGACAATAATGAAAATGATACTTTAATATTAAACAATATTCAAATTTTAAACAAAAATACATGGCCAATAGATGTTGATATAAGACATGGGGAAAATGAAATACAACAATTGGGCCGTAGATTTTTATTAAATACATCTGTACTAGTTCAAGGAATGAGAAACTTTATTCATAACAATACAATGAATGAAGAAATACAGGAATTAAATATACTTATAAAAACATTGCCAGTTTCTACTGCAGAATGCGAACGGGGATTCAGTTTAATGAATATAATATGCTCTGATCTAAGATCTAAATTGACAATAAAAAATATAGCAAATCTTATGTTTATAAATATAAATGGGCCACCTCTTAGTATATGGAACCCAACCAAATATGTTGGAAGCTGGCTGTTGCAGCACAGATCAGCCGATGATAACCGTTCAAGGAAAGTGGAGCCATTAGAAGAACAAACAGACAAAAAATCACTGTGGAAAATTTTATAAATTATAAATAATAAATAAATAAATTTGCTATCATGGAATCATATATTATTATATATTTAAATAAATTTAGAATAATAGATAAATCTAAGTCAATTGATATGCGGGGGGTGTGGGGGGCGGAGCCCCCCACGTAATCAATATTTCTCAATTTAGGTGTATACCCAAAACAATATTTACGACTACACCACTGTATATCATTGTCGATAAATTAACAGATAAGCTATAATAATAATAATAATAATAATAATAAATAATATTACAATAACAGCGTCATTATGTAGCCATCTCCTCACAGTGTTACTACCTATTCCTACCTATTATATACTAACCATCATGAGCATATAAGACGCGTATAATAGCATTGTAACTATTATTTATTTTCGATGCATAATAATAATGACGATTATGATAATAAATTAATAACATTAAAAACCGTACGCCGCCGTGTAGTCAACAATAAAATTAATCTAGTTGTATCGAAACGCTGACGAGACCTAACCGACGCGGGCAGACCTGTTGCTCTCTACGACCACGGCTCTGCGTCATTTTAACAGTACGCTCTACTCGAACGTTGGTCCCTCGATCGCGGGAAAACCGGTCGCTCCAGCCACCGCCCACCGGAAAACAACCACCGTCGTGCGCGTCTCGTTTCCGCACACGCGTCTTTGGTGAAAACTATAGACAACAATATTGTCGTCGGCCCTCCACCGCCGCTGCAACCGCGTCAGTCTTCAGCGTCGTCTGAACGGGTCGTTACCGCAGGAATCCGGCGGCGGAGTTCGAAAAAATCGGATTTCTAGTTTTCCGTTTGTCAATCGTCTCGTTTCGCACGTGACCCATACCACAGAACAATACCCATACATATACTAATACCGGCTGGAGAGGTGAGAGTCTGTCTACGATCTATCTTTGTAATATTATTTAATATTTTATATTAGGTACCTATTACCTATATAAAAATGAGTATGTTTGTTCGTCATCTAGCTATAGACTTAAAAATACTGGATCGTTTTCAATAAACGTTTTTTTTATTATTTACTATAATTTATATACTTGACATTTTTTAAAATTTGTAAAATTTTCGTATTAATTTGTTCTATAAAATGGTTCAATTATAATGTACAAATAAAGTTCTTACATACTCAGTACTTTGGAGAGTTTAGGTTGTAACTTGTAGATATCATAGAAGTAGGTATTACTGAAGGAGACCTGGAAGAGTTTACAACATATCAATAGATTATTTGATCCCTGGGGGAAGGTTTTTAGGTTTTTTTTCAACCCATATAGGTTTATAGGGTGGCTCACACACACACAAAATCGAATATTTTTAGGTTGATATTTAGCGTTGTTTGGTTACAGATAATAAAACAGTTATTATGATTGTTTATAATTGCCTGTATTATATTACACTTTTGCTTTTAGTCTATTAGGTATTCCATAAAAATCTAAATTTGAGTAACAGCTATTATAATATAAGGGTAAATATGACGTATGTGGTTGATGATTATGTACTAAAAAAATACTCAACTGATTTTGGCAAAATACAATAATTGAGAATATATTTTAACAAAAGAAAAGTAGAAATGATAGATGGATTATACATATCTGTAATCGGCTATTACAGATATTATTAGTCGGGTTATATTTATGGCGCATAATATGGAAATCAACCATTTTTATTTTTTACCAATATGCACCATATTTTGCATAAATATTATTTGGGATACCGGATGGATCGTATCTTAGAAGTTAGAGAGTTAGAATATAAGCCATTATAATAGTAACAGCTATTATATTATATAGTTATAAAACTTTAAAAGGCAAAGTGTACTCTGATGCTTTAGAATCAAAAAATACTAACCGATTTTGACAGTTTAAGAAAGGTCTAGACTCTAGATAATAGATTGAACAGCCAGTATTTTAGGGGCTTACCCACTGTTAATAATATTAAAATCATCACCACATATTTCTGCTTGCAATAATATCAGTTATTGCACGTTTTAAAAAATAAAGTTACTTATTAGTTATTACTTATTACTATCTGACACAGCTGGATTGCCCATCTCGATTTCATTTAACGCCGGGTAATATTGCTAATATATTATGATAATTTATTATGTAGGTGAGTTTTCATTTCGTCGTTAGCTGCAGGTGGTTAGCTTCACAATCGTCATCTTTCCCGTTATAGCATGTATTATAGGTACATTTCACTAGGACCTATACCTACTTACTGTATAATATTTTAATGATGATGACATATCATTTGATTGTTACTGTCACCTGTTGTACCTACGAGTCGAGTTGTTTAATTGGACATCAATTATTGCAATTTCACGATTTGTACCGTATTAAAATTCAGTCAAGTCGCTCCAGGTTATAAATAAAACAGGAGTGAGATAAAACCCTACACAATTTTTTTTTTAATTCCTTTTTTTTATTCAGTTAAGATCACCAAATATTTAGATTTGACTCTCCCCCCTTCAACAAAAATGTTCTGAATTCTAAGTTCACCACTGTTTATAGTATATTATTAATTTTTCTAATATTTTATTATATATATATCATATACCTACTCTGCGTATCAGCCGTTATAATTAATTTTCGTACTATTGACCCTAGAAACGAATCTTATTGCGGGTCTTAGCCATTATATATTGAAGTATAATTATTTAGGTGACAGGTAACGGCGGTAATATATTATGTCGGTTTAAATTTTAAACATAAAAATACTGAAGTCAAGAATTTAGCTAAATACAATGTGTTTTTTACAAAGTTTATTTTGTATAGGTAATATACCCAATGTCTACAAAGTTTCATTAACTGTAAAAAATTCAATAGGTGTCATTATGCAGTGTCATTACGATTTCTCAGAATGGTCAAATCAATATGATAATGTTTTGTTATCTACATTGCTATAACATGTATGGAGTGTATAACATGCGTGTACAGTAACCGTGTATTAAACTTTGCACCAATAGGTACGCTTTATTTTAAGGAAATCTTACAATTAATAACATTTTGTGTTTTGACAAATATTATAATACATTTAATCAAGATTATTAAAATTCTACTTAGTATTGTTTTCGTAATATATACATTGTACATAAACATGTTATTTATCGTGTTTTTTATGATGATGCTTTAAAAACCAGCTTATATATTTATCTAATATTTGCTAGGTAATTTAAATTAATTATCTTTAGAAAATTCTTAACTTATATTCAAAAATCATAATATTTTCCCTTGTTCACTCTGTTAGAGATTTAGTTGGCTCTAATATTAGAGCTTGGATTTAATCTTTTTTCTATGGCTTGGATACATTCATGTCTTATAATCGAACAAAATTAAATAAATCCATGTAAAATTAAATTTTGGTCATATTTTCGACCTTGAATATCTATAATTGTGTATATTTGAATGGTCGAGTCTCGTTCCAAGCTTTATTGATTTCGTCTTTAAACGCGGTGCATGTGATATTTATTTTCTATTATTATAATCGGTGGTTTTCATTTGGGAAAATTACCCAAGATCATAAATCGTTTGTGCTAATTTATACATATAATTTTCCATTTTGACGACATTTACAATTAAATCTAATATGTCTAATAATATTTCATTCCCGTTTTAAGAATTACTTAAAAACCTAAGGACTTATGTCCACATGCATAGTCAATTTATGTGTCATATAAGGCATAGTTTAACATATCTCATGTGACACATACTTGACTATGCATACGGGCATAAGATTAACTGAACATGTTTTTTTTCATGATTTGTACAAAAATATCGCTCATCCTTAAAACTAGTATTTTTTTTCTAAGAAAAAACTAAGAGTTGTTTATATGCTATTTGTATGATAAGTATTAGCCATTAGGATAAGTATGAAAATGGAGTTTTCAAACACGATATTATACACTGTCAAATAGACGATAATATATCGGAAATCGGAATAATATAGACATATATTAAATTATATATAATAGCTGGTTTATAAATATAGATATTATTATCTAATTTCGTCATGAGGTTTCGCGAGTAAAATTGAACGTACATTTTACCTAGTTTTGAGTTTAAATTTATATTTTTTTCTTTGCTTTGTACACGTACTGCAGAGTGCAGTATGAGTACTCTTTATTCGATCCAATCCTATAGACTTTAACTACTAGATATACACAACAAATTTTAAAAACTAATTTACCCAATTGATATATATATACTATTCTACTCAAGTAAATTTTGGGTCATTCTCCAAAAATTAATGATGCCCATTACAGTGTCTACCTTATGTTATATTGCGTGCACAATGTGATACATTATATTATACGAGAATATGCGTATTGCACTGATGGTGCATCACTGCATTTTGCTGCAGTAATAATATAACTTACCGTTGTGGCCGGCAAGTACATCTCGTTCGCGTACTTGCCCGTGCCTGGCCACATGGACTGCACGTCCAGCTTGTCGTGTAGGGCCCTCCAGTGGCCCAACACCGGGCTCGCGTTGGACGTCGGGAAGCGACGTCTGCGGGTCGTCGTCGTGCGCTGTGGTTGGCCGTCGGCCTGCCGCGTCCACACCCTGCGGGGTAACACGCCGCCGCCGGCCAACATGTTCAGGTAGTTTGGCCGGTCACCGGTCTGTCGCCACTGCTGTAGTCGGCGGCCGGCGAACACCGCGTGCCGCTGACCGGTGGCCAGGGCCGCGTTGAGCAGCGCGGCCAGCATATAGTAATGCATCTCGCGGACCGATCGATATAATAATATGCGGCCGACAATAAAATATATAAATCGAGTTTTGGCGTATTATAATAATATTATAAGGGATCGTTGTCGAATTTTGTTAGGATAATTAAAAACAATATATATTATGAGAGACGCGGACGTCTTATCGTTACGGTAAAGTATTATTGTGCTGACGGTGGTGGCAGTGGTGCTGGCCCTGTCGATGGCCGAAACTTAACGGCGAACGAAACGTCATTTTTTTCCCCCTGCGTCGGATCGTTGGCTCGTTCCCGGAGTGGTCGACGACGCTCGGCGAACTGCGACGTGAACCCGGCGCACAAACTATAACTCCGCACTCGTCTAAATAGTATAATAATGTATGTCAGGACATGGCAATCGCCGCTGTCGGATACATAATATAATATATAAGTAGTGGTTTCGCGGCTCTCCGCGGCTTGGCGTTCCGCCGCCACTGCGGCCGCTTCGACCTTGCGCCGCCGCCGCCGCATCACGGCATAGCTCCAGTGGTATCCCACTACGCGCGACTAGCGGTGCGGAGACATTATCTCGGACGAGGCAGCATTATAATATATTATTACATAGATTTCGTCGTCCGATCAACTATCACCGGCGCCGGCATTTATGTCGATATAATAATATATACCTATAGATGTAATAGTGCGATCTAGTAAATGACAATATTATAATATACCTACCTGCTAAATATCAAATTATGTTATGTATCGTTGTGGGCTTATAATATTATATATAGGCACTTTAGCCACTGTCACTGCGCATCCTTTCACCAGTTTGCGCGGACGAAGAAGACGCTTGCATATAATAATATTATTATATTATTTTTGTGCAACGTTCTGCGCTCGCTCTCATTCTCTCTCGCTCACTCACTATGGTCTCTCGCTGTGCGTGTGTCTGTCCGTCTCTTTTTTTTCTATTTTTTTCTCCCTCTGGGTCTGCGTCTGTTTCTACTACGTTCTCTTTCACCACGAGTCGATATCGTCGATTCGTACGTAATATCATTGATTATAAATACTATTGATTGCCCCCACTGGCGACTGATTTACGACACTGGCCCGTATTAGATATAGGTACCATATTATAAATTATATTTTTCCTTACATCTCACCTATTATACGACGTTTATAGGTAAAGTACGCCATTATAATTTTATAGGGCATTATCGGGTATACAAGGTGTTACAGAAAGACTTGACGAAAAAAAAATTATACTACTTAAACGTATGACAAAAATTGTTAAAATTATATAATTAGTAAATAATTTAAGAAGTATACTCATGTGATCAAATTCTCAAAAAAAAATATTTTGAAAAAGTTATTACGTTCCAAATTCATTTAATCAAAAAAATATTCTAAAAAATAAACTATACTTGACTTAGATAAATGTTTTTATGCTATCAAAATTGTTCTTATAATCAGATTCACAAATTGGCTATTTCGAATATATCCAAAAAACTTTAAATCATATTTAAAATTTTTGATTTTCAGTGTTAAAAATAAAAATAATTTTTTGTATAACATATGTGTAACCCAACTCGCAAGTGACTATAAATTATATATACATAAAAATAAATTTTAAATATTGATTAGAACAAAAGTTATTTCAAAAGTCAGTTCTATCTGTTACACCCTGTATAATATACCACTACAAAATACTATAGTTTTGATGATATACGGCTGTGGCGGTGACTACTGCTGAAGCGTTATTTAGGTGTAGGCTACAGCTACAATAATAACATAACACTATAATAATGGCCGGGTGACAAAACCACGCTTATATTGTGACTTATTTGAATCCGATCGTGCACATGTGCGGTAGTTCTCTCGCGATTCGGCCTAGTTTCAAATCCGCGACTGATTGCGACTTCGAAGTCGATCGCCCGAACGTCGTTGCAAAATAATATATAATATAAATCAACACTCATTTATTATTATAACGATCGCAGTTGCGTAGGTATCTAAACGATAGATGGATTTCAATAATTATTCATCGCTAGTATATATTATTTCTGCAGCATATACGATATACCATGATTTAAGATAGTAAATCTTAAATCGTGGCATATACTGATGGTCACGACAATGAAGACGACTGCCATAAATACGCAATAATATACATAATACATTAATATACTATATAGGTAGGAACAATGTATATTATTGTAGAAGTTTTACACTTTTACAACTAGCTAACTTATAATACTGAACTACTGCGAGTTGTGTGTCATCGCAAATCAAATTGCTGCAGACACACTGCTGCGTTGTATGTATAGACTATAGATGTATTATATGAGGCATTGGTGTAGAGGGCTGTAGCCCCCCCCCCCCTCCCAATGTTAAGAAAATTAAAATTTTTTTTTATGGTCTATATGATAGTCGCTCAAAAAGTCTTGCATTATATTTAATATATTTAAAAACTTGCCTATAAGTATTAACGCTTTTTAGCTATCTATCTGTGCTAGTACTTATTTAATGTATAAAAGTTGAAAAGTTGAAAATCCCGAAAAAAATTTTGGCTACGTCACTGATATGAGTCCAAGAGGAATATGCTGATATTTATGTTTGTGTTAGCATTATAAATTATAATATTGTTGTTACTTTTTAGTATGCGTCAGGTATTAGGTTAGTATAATAATAAGCGAAAATCGTGCAACATCTCTAGGACCGTTACAATATTTTCACAATTGAATCGAATTTTTAAAGCCTCAGTAAATAATAACGCTTTTTATGATATAGAAATGTTATGTACCATTTAAATACAGGAATATCTTTGAACTCAGCTAGTGTACTTATTATTATGATATCTATCTATTAACTATATCAATCCAATAACTATTAATTATTAAATAATATAGGTATGTAACGTATTTATGGAGACTGTACCTATATTAGATTCTAGAATGTAGTTGATAATAATTATTATCATTATTTTATATGTGATATGTTATCTTATTTATGTTAAAGTAAATCACTAAATCATAATTACATTATGCAGAATACAATGCAGAATTGTGTGAGCACAGCATTTATATTATGAAAGTAGGTACGAGGTGAAATATAATAATGAACTTGTATTTATATACATTTTAAGTAGCTATATACATGTATAAATAATGTGCATATTACCTAATGAGTAATAACTAATAACTATTGTCTACTATTCTGATAAAATATGATATAGTATATTATTGAACGGTACATATTATAAATTATAATGATAAAGTTTTGATGGTTTTAATGACAAAAGAATATGGTAAACAAATTTACACAAAACACAATTACTTGAATATTATTATACGCTAATATTGTTCTTTAATAAAAAATAAATATTTACAAATGTATAGTTAAATAAACTGCGTCATTGCATCATGCCATTATAGGTAGTTTAGGTCATAATTCACACGTTTAATTTTTTTTTTAGAAAATGCGGTTCAAAATTGATACAATTCAAATAGTAAAAAATTGTTTTAAAGTAAATTCTGGAAAATAATATTCAAAAAACAATTACAAGGTAAATGAGTAAGTCCTGAAAAATATAACATCATAGAAGTAGAATAGAGATTTGAATATAAGTAGATATTGTCACGCTCAATAATTGTAAAATATTTAAATATTTAATATGGGTAACGTTTTACTCGTTTATCATTTGTTATTGTAGTCGTCTATACGATTATTTATACTCCATAACTGCTCCAAACCTCCAATGTGTATATATATAATACATAATTATATAGTTTTGTAATTTAAGTTGATGTTATAACGATTAAAATATATATAGGTATACCTACATAATGTGTATATAAATGTGTACATCATTCAGTTGGAAAAATACAAACGACATAGAAACTGTCTGAAATATAATATATAAATATATTTAAGGTATATTTTAATTCATCTATATTATATATATTATATATTAATTAATGTTTGTCTGTCTGTCTGTGTGTGTGTGTGTGTCCTTTATGCATTCCTAAACGGCTGGACCAATGTTGATGAAATTTGGTACAGAGATAGATTAGACTTCTGGGCAGAAGATAGGCTAATTTAAAAAGGGAGAGGACCAACCCCGGGAGTTGCTCAAACAGGGATTTTGGTCAAGGAAAATGGTTGCCATGGGTCTTAAAGCTATTATAAAAGTAATTATTGGCATTTTTAATGGGCAACGAAGTGCACGGGATCAGGTAGTTATATATTATAATATTATTGAGTATAAATGCTCATAAATTAACACATTAATTTCTAATAGATAAAATCGAATGAACTGTTTTTATTTAGAAATAAATTTTGTTTTTCTTGCCACTTTATGATGATAAATTAATCGTTCAACAAAGAGACATTACTTACCTATATAAAATGGTTGTTTTTTACAGTTATTGAATTTTATTTGTTTTTTTTTTATTGGTAATCGGTAATAACATTTGTATAGCCAATGAAATTGACTTTTGCGCCTTATTTGACTATAGTTCTTCATACACATTCTAATGAGTTTTATTGTTTGATTGTATTTTTTTTTGTATTATCAAAAAATATAAATTATCGTACAATACGGGGTTTAAAATCATTTAAAATATCTACCTCGTAATAAGTTATACTATTAAGTGCAAATATGGAATAATAATTTGTCTGTGATAGACAAATATAAATAAACAATATAATATAATATCAATAGTTTTAATATTTTAAATATAACATATCTATTTATTTTATCAAAAATTGTGAAGTACAAACTTTGGACTTATACCAGTATTTCACACATATAGTTTTATACATAATTAATATAATATTTAGGTAAATTAAAAGAAGAAATGTTCTTCAACCGTGTTATTATATTATTTAAGTATACCTACTTATTATCTTATTTATGAGCAGAGCATTGCATACAACATTTAGCTATGGGTTTTTTTTTTAAATACCTGATTTATCTGGTAGGTTATATTATTAATGTTAGGTATAGAGAAAGAATAACAAAAGTCTTTATTT